AGTTGTACGTCCAATATAATTATTCATGAAGTTGTTTTGAATAGGAACGCAGTTTCTTAATCGGCCCCCCCCGCGCGCGCACACACACACACACACACACACACACACACACACACACACACACACACACACACACACACACACACACACACACGCTCTCTGTGATCGTCAGAAAAACTCAAGTACCGCGCATATATAATATATAAATAATCCTTAATTAAAATTTGCATATATATATATATATTTACAAATTATATATATATATATATATATATATATATATACATATATATATATACACATTTTACATAGTGTGTATATAAATATATATATATATATATATATATATATATATATATATATATATATATATTTAGTTGAACTACGGAATAATACGTATATATATATATATATATATATATATATATATATATATATATATATAGATGAACTACGGAATAAACTCTACCTCAAAATCGGCCAATTCCAGCAGTTTAGACAATGAAGTAGGCCGAATGACGCATCGGCAGAAACCCTCTCATAAAGAACGCTAGCGTTAGGATATTAGTTTGAATATGTTGTGGAATAATGAGAAATGTACATCTTATAATTTCAGACAAGGAAGGAGGCCGAATGACGCATCAGCCGAAAAGTTGCAATAGATCAGCATGGATAAGTTGTAAATGATGAATGATATCTGAATGAGGCCAATGAAAAAGTGCATCTTAAATTTTTGGACAGTGAAGAAAAGCCAAATAATGCAGAGAAGAAAAATTTCTAATAAAAAGCGCCATTAAGATGTACAGAATATGATGGGGACTAATGCAAAGAAGCTTATTAAAATTTCGAACAATAAAGAAGGCCGAATGTTACACCGGCTGAAAAGTTGCAATTAAACAGCAAGGATAAGGATATTAGTCTGAATAGCTTATGGAATCATGTTAATGATTCATCACAGAATTTCAAACAAAAGTTTTGTGCGTCTTTTTTTTTTAACTTCATTCACCATAAAGTGGATGCCGTTAAGGGGTCTGACAAGGTCAACTGGAAGTCCGACGAGGTCAAACACGAATAATTATGAGTCATCAGAATGTCGGGATTAGTAAGAAAAAAAAATCAAAGTTAGCGGCTCCGGGTGGTGGGTTAGACGTGGGTGGGGCGTTTTGACAAAGAAGCGCCTACTTCGTCGTATTTTCAACCGGTGAATCAGCTGTTGTAAAGGTGTGTTTGTCACACTCTCTTATTCGCTTATTCTCTCTTTCTTTCTTTTACTCTCCCTCTTTCTTCTCTCTTTCAATTAATCTACGTTTCTATTTCTTACTATCTCGCCGGATTTTCTCTTTTCTCTCCCCCACTCTTTCTCTTGTTCTCCTCTCTTTCTCTCTTTCAATTAATCTACGTTTCTTTTTCTTACAATTTATCGCGCAGGATTTCTCTCTCTCTCTCTCTCTCTCTCTCTCAATTAATCTACATTTCGTTTTCTTACAATCTCGCCGGATTTTCTCTTTTCTCTCCCCCCTCTTTATCTCTCGCTCTCTCTCTCTCTCTCTCTCTTTCTTCTCTCTTTCAAATTAATCTACGTTTCTTTTCTTACAATTTATCCCAGGATTTCTCTCTCTCTCTCTCTCTCTCTCTCTCTCTCTCTCTCAATTAATCTACGTTTCTATTTCTTACTATCTCGCCGGATTTTCTCTTTTCTCTCCCCCACTCTCTCTCTTGTTCTCTCTCTCTTCTCTCTTCTCTCTTTCAATTAATCTACGTTTCTTTTTCTTACAATTTATCGCGCAGGATTTTTCTCTTTTATTTCTCTCTCTCTCTCTCTCTCTCTCTCTCTCTCTTCTCTCTTTCAATTAATCTACATTTCTTTTTCTTACAATCTCGCCGGATTTTCTCTTTTCTCTGCCCCCTCTTTCTCTCTCTTTCTTCTCTCTTTCAATTAATCTACGTTTCTTTTTCTTACAATTTATCCCTCAGGTTTCTCTCTCTCTCTCTCTCTCTCTCAATTAATCTACGTTTCTTTTTCTTACAATTTATCCCTCAGGATTCTCTCTCTCTCTCTCTCTCTCTCTCAATTAATCTACGTTTCTTTTTCTTACTATGTCGCCGGATTTTCTCTTTTCTCCCCCCTCCCTCTCTCTCTTGTTCTCTCTCTCTCTTCTCTATTTCAATTAATCTACATTTCTTTTTCTTACTATCTCACCGGATTTTCTCTTTTCTCTCCCCCCTCTCTTTCTCCTCTCTTTCAATTAATGTACGTTTCTTTTTCTTACTGTCTATCTCGTCGGATTTTCCTCTTTTATTTCTCTTTCTCTCTCTCTCTCTTTCTCTCTCTCTCTCTCTCTCTCTCTTTCAATTAATGTACGTTTCTTTTTCTTACTGTCTATCTCGTCGGATTTTCCTCTTTTATTTCTCTCTTCCTTTCTTTCTTCCTTGTTGTTGCAGTTATCATTTCTTTGATTCCTCATCAAGATGGGCGGTTTGTACCTCGTACAAGCACTGACAGATGTTGGACTCGCCCATATAAAATAGAGTTAACGGAGGTGATCATAAACATATGCTGGATAGGCGCCTGTCATAGCGTGCTAGTAAGCAAACTCATCCAGTTCTCTACCATGGTGAGTTCGATTTTGACTAAGTGCTCCATTACTGTGACCTCGTACTGGAAAGTTCACCCAAATTCACCACAGACCTCAAGTAAATCTCATATATACGATCCATGGTTAAAGATGCTAGAAAAAAAAAAGGTCGGCAAATAAAATGTTGCGACTTGCCCTAAATCAGATTCAAAAAGTTTTAAAAAACATTCTACTCATTTGTTAAAATTATACCCTTTCTTCAACATTCCCCTGAGAGTCCATAGTACCTTCCAGGGGGGCGGTACCGCCTATATCGGGAGTCACTGGTGTAAATATAATTTAAACTTAGTTTTGAACTGCTGAAGTTTTTTTTCCATATACAGTGTAACCCGGATATAAGAGAAACCCGGATATAAGAGAGATTTTCTCTGGTCCCAAATTAGAGCCTGTGTTAATGTATATAAAATAGACCAAACCCGGATATAAGAGAAACCCGGATATAAGAGAGATTTTCTCTGGTCCCAAATTAGAGCCTGTGTTAATGTATATAAATTAGACCAAACCCGGATATAAGAGAAACCCGGATATAAGAGAGATTTTCTCTGGTCCCAAATTAGAGCCTGTGTTAATGTATATAAATTAGACCAAACCCGGATATAAGAGAAACCCGGATATAAGAGAGATTTTTCTCTGGTCCCAAATTAGAGCCTGTGTTAATGTATATAAAATAGACCAAACCCGGATATAAGAGAAACCCGGATATAAGAGAGATTTTCTCTGGTCCCAAATTAGAGCCTGTGTTAATGTATATAAAATAGACCAAACCCGGATATAAGAGAAACCCGGATATAAGAGAGATTTTCTCTGGTCCCAAATTAGAGCCTGTGTTAATGTATATAAATTAGACCAAACCCGGATATAAGAGAAACCCGGATATAAGAGAGATTTTCTCTGGTCCCAAATTAGAGCCTGTGTTAATGTATATAAAATAGACCAAACCCGGATATAAGAGAAACCCGGATATAAGAGAGATTGTCTCTGGTCCCAAATTAGAGCCTGTGTTAATGTATATAAAAATAGACCAAACCCGGATATAAGAGAAACCCGGATATAAGAGAGATTTTCTCTGGTCCCAAATTAGAGCCTGTGTTAATGTATATAAAATAGACCAAACCAGGATATAAGAGAAACCCGGATATAAGAGAGATTGTCTCTGGTCCCAAATTAGAGCCTGTGTTAATGTATATAAAATAGACCAAACCCGGATATAAGAGAAACCCGGATATAAGAGAGAGATTTTCTGGTCCCAAATTAGAGCCTGTGTTAATGTATATAAAATAGACCAAACCAGGATATAAGAGAAACCCGGATATAAGAGAGATTGTCTCTGGTCCCAAATTAGAGCCTGTGTTAATGTATATAAAATAGACCAAACCAGGATATAAGAGAAACCCGGATATAAGAGAGATTTTCTCTGGTCCCAAATTAGAGCCTGTGTTAATGTATATAAAATAGACCAAACCAGGATATAAGAGAAACCCGGATATAAGAGAGATTTTCTCTGGTCCCAAATTAGAGCCTGTGTTAATGTATATAAAATAGACCAAACCCGGATATAAGAGAAACCCGGATATAAGAGAAACCCGGATATAAGAGAGGTTTTCTCTGGTCCCAAAGTGTTCCCATACTTACCTAAACAAAATAGACCAAACCCGGATATAAGAGAAACCCGGATATAAGAGAAACCCGGATATAAGAGAAACCCGGATATAAGAGAGATTTTCTCTGGTCCCAAAGTGTTCCCATACTTACCTAAACAAAATAGACCAAACCCGGATATAAGAGAAACCCGGATATAAGAGAAACCCGGATATAAGAGAGATTTTCTCTGGTCCCAAAGTGTTCCCATACTTACCTAAACAAAATAGACCAAACCCGGATATAAGAGAAACCCGGATATAAGAGAAACCCGGATATAAGAGAGATTTTTCTCTGGTCCCAAAGTGTTCCCATACTTACCTAAACAAAATAGACCAAACCCGGATATAAGAGAAACCCGGATATAAGAGAAACCCGGATATAAGAGACTTCTTCTCCGGTCCCGACAACTCTCTTATATCCGGGTTACACTGTAAGTCTAATGCAGGCTTTCTTTCTTGCTGTCGGTACCCTGTAACTCTGTACAATCTGTCGCATATTACGAGGAGAAGAGATGGACAGATGGCGTGAAGGGGAATGACTGGCCGTAGCAAAATGATGATAGGATGAATGATCGGAAAGTTTCACATTCAATCACTTTCCACTTGGCAGATTGGCGACAAATCCTATTAATTTATCTGCTATACAAAACTAGACCCACTCCGTAGCGTCAAATTCTTAAGGCTGTAAAGAAGACGTATTTGGTGTTCACTTTTGGTCACATAGAAAAACTTCATTTTTTTTTTTTTTTTAATCATTTTACCCCAAGGAAGCGTGGGAATGCCACTAGTTACGCAAGGGGTTGCAGAGAGTGAAAGTGAAAGAGAAGATTGAGATTGAGGAAAGGACAAAAAATGGCCAGGGTTTAAGAAGACAGAAGATGGCGATTGACGTTGCATTCAAAGTTTTGAAGATTGCTGTTCTCAGGGATGCAAGAAAACGGAAGGGAGTTCTACAGGCAGGAAGTGCGAGAAAAGAAACTGTTGAGGCAAAAGTAGCTGTTTCATTTAGCTATTTCAACAGTAAATAGGTGAGACCAAGTAGTACGCTTAAATTCATGTATTCGAGTCACCAAGAAAAAAAAAAACTCTTCAAAGCAGTTGCAATGAAAATATTTGCAGAAAAGACAGAGGTTTGGTTTGTTTTGTTTTACGGCATATCAACCTCAATGTCTTGTCTTGTCTTCAGTCGGTCCTGTGTGTATCAATTTTTCAAAGCCCTCTTTTTTTTCATTATGTGCTCCAGAAAGTTTAACTGTCCCTTCCTGATGTTAAGCATAAGTGTCCTTTTTGTATTCATTTTCTCTAAATCTTCGTCGTTTCCTACATGTTCGGTCCATGGTATTCTCAGCATCCTTCTGTAGAACCAGAATTCTGTTGCTTCAAGTCTCTTTTTCATATGCGAAGGAATTCTCCAATATTCACTGCCATATAGGAGGATTGATATTAAGTAACAGCTCATTTGTTGTTTCTTAATACTTTGCATAGCTTTTGGAAGGCATTTTTCGTTATCCCGATGCGCCTTCGGGTTTCAGTGCCGTATCTTCAGTCTTTTGTTAAAAACGCTTCCCAGACGTTTAAATTGTTTTACTTATTTGATTTTGGTATCTCTAATTTGTAATTCACGTTTTGGGTTATTCCTCTTGTAACAACCAGGCATTTTGTCTTCTTACAATTAGGGTTTAGTCCTTTCTTCGCACTTTCCTTCACTACCTTCTGTAAGAGTTCTTGTAGTTTCCTTTCTTTTTTTTCTATCCCTATACACGCGGTTTGTTCTCGGTTTAAGTGCTGGAGAATATTTTTGGTTTTTTTCTCCGTTGCCAAGATTTTGCCGTGTGTAAATAATAAATGTCTACTCGAATCGTACACATGTTTCGGCGGAGCCAGAGGCAGATATTGCAAAGCATTGCTCTGGTTAGTTAGCAACAGTGTTACAAGCATGAATAAACAAACTTCGAGTCGTAAACGACAATCGAGGAATTATTTACTAAGCTTAGTTCTGGTACAAGGTCATAAGTATGGAGCTCCTGGAGGCAATCAAATAGTTGTTATACATTTGCAAAGATTTGATTAGCTTGGTTACAAAACCACTAGTATGAGGTACCTTGTAAGAAAAGACCAAACTACTCAGTACTAATGGCCATATATTGCGGGAAAATTAAATAAAACTAATAGATAAAATACTAATGAATAATAAGAAAAGAAATACATTTACTACTACTACTAATAAAGGAACCGAAAACTTTATTATCCCAGTTGGTTTCGCCAAATGCCGTTAGATGGCGCTGTTTAAGTCTACAAGAAAAAAAAGAAAATTTTTCTTTCTCTTTTTCCTCTTGCTTCCAGATTTAGTCGCACGTACGTAAAGAACATCGTTACCGGGGAGCGTTCGTTTGTTAGGTCCGCTGATGACTGAACACCATTTTTCCACTTTCCAACGCATCCCAAAACCTCAAATTAAGCAAATCAACATTTTCTTTGGTTGTTCCAAATCTGCGCAAGGATGACGTAAGCGTGACATTTATAACGATGCTTATTCTTAGTTACCCTAACTTCTGGACCAAAGAGAAAACAGACATATCTGAGAACTTTGTTTCGCTACATTTTATACCGAGTGTAACAGCAAAATTGTTCAAATCGTGTTACAGCATAATTGTCCATTCCACAAAATGTTTAAAATCTTCAGAAAAAAATTTAAAAAAAAAACACTAATCTGATTGAGTTTCTTTTTTCCAGGTTTTCAGATAACACATTTAGCCATCTTGATACCATTTGTCGTAAGAATCACCAAAACAAACTTTTAGTTATTCAGCTAGAAAGAGAAAAGATTAAAATCGTTTTGTATCAGCCCCACTGCCTTCTCAAGTGAGCAATGGTAAGAGGAAAAAATCATTCGGGCCTCCAATAATGGTACCAACATTCATATTCTAGCTTCCATCTTCAAAGTGCATTCAAGGACCATCAAGAGAACGGTGAATAAGCTTAAAAAAGAGAGAACAGTAGAGCAGAAAACTGGATTAGGAGGTAACAACAGTAAGAGGGATTATCATTTCAACTTAGAGATAAAGGGATCAATTAGAAAAGATCCAACTCAATCCATAATCCATAAGACTCAATCCATGGCACGTTATAGGGGACTTTCACTTATGACAGTCAAAAGGGCAGTGAAAAAGGACTTCAAAATGAAACGTGTGAGGAACTTTGTTACTCCAGTACACAAAGTTAGG